GATAAGGTCTGAAAAGTTACAGGTGGACAATACCTGAAACTAATATAATACTGTATGTTAACTAACTGGAATTAAAACAAAAACTTAGGGGGAGAAAAAAGAACAAAAGCTAAAAAAAAAAAAAAAAGAAGAAGAAGAAGAAGAAAAGAAAAAGAAAGAAAAGCTACCAGTGGACAGGCAATGCTACTGGCTATTCTTCATCACACGCTCTTGCCTTTCATGGTCCTTGAACTTCCACTCAAGTGGCTCCCTTTCGCCTTGTGTGCCAGAACCATCTACAGTGTCATCAAAATTGCCCTTCAGAGAATTTGCCAACCCTTTGGAACCACTCTATCTTTCAAAGTCTCTTGTCAGGGAATTATATCTATCCTTTCTCTTAATTAAAAAAAAAAAAAAGCCTTCTTGAAGTCTACAGTGGAAACATGAAATCCTGGCCATAATATTCTGGGGGGAAAATAATATGTCTTTTCCCAGCTTCCCATTAATACCCAATTTGCAAACAATCTCTCCTTTTTGGGTCAGAGTTAAACACACTCTAATGGTGCTCCTTATCAGTTTAACTTCCTTTATTTACCCTTAGGAAGACGTAACAGCATGGGGAATCAGGAACATGGCAGACGCTCTGCTTCCAGCAAAGACAGGCTCTCAAGGGATGTCTCAATGGTGGAAGAGCCCCATTATTACACTCACCTGTGTTCTGGGTTCGTTTGAGACCTAAGACAAGAAAGCTCGTATCTATTTCTTCTCCCTCGCAAGGGACGCTGTAGCATTTCCTCAAAACGGAATCTTCTTGGTTCTTTCCTCTTTTCCCCTCACCCTGTGCTTCTGGTTTGCTGCCAAGGGTACCAACTACACTAAGAGAGAAGAACTTGGCTGACGAGGATGCCTCCATGAAAGTTTACCCCTGGTGGGCCTGGCCAATCAGCCATGTTGAGCTCTCATTCCTGACACCCACCTCCATTTGGGGAGGATACAGGGAGAGGAGATGAAGTAGGATCTAGCCTCTAGGACAGGCCCCTCAGGAGCAGAGGCTTAGGGCACACAAAGCGGTGTAGGAAGAACTGCCAAGAAGAAAAGAAAGCACTGCCACCCAGGAGATCAATCTTGCAGTGACTACTAGGGTTGGTTGGCTGGAGAGAGAGAAAGGTGCAGGAAGAAGGGAATGGAACAGTGTTTTCAGGAAGGAATAGAGGCAGGAGTGATAAAGCGTTGATGAAAGGAAAACATTTTCTGCAGAGGCAAATGATCTCTGGCTCCTCTTGGAAATACTACAGAGCCCCTGTGGGGTGAGACTTCCTATGGGAAGTATTCCCAAAGAGGAAGGAAGGAATTGCTGGATTCCTTTAGCCACAGGTTCTGTGTTCTGCCTCAGGAATATTGAGAACCTCTTTCCTCTTCCTTCTCCTGACCTTGAGGGCCTCTGCCCTGCAGCATAAACAGTGTCTTATGTGTCCTTAAGGTCTTTAACCAACATAGGAGTTTGGAGGGAGTGAATTCCCCAACAATGAAGTCACGGGCAGGGTCTGCACACGGTTGTGAAGGGCCAAAAGATAGGTCCTGTCATTGGTCATATTGTGATCTAGGGGGCAAGGGTAAAGTTCCACCACCACTAGTAACTGTGTGACCTTGGGAGAGTCACTCCTCCTCAGGGAAATGATCTCCAAAGTCCTTTCCAGTTCTAAAGCCTTATGGGGTCATAGGATGTGCAAGAATAACAGTCTCCTAAGTTTCATTTTATAAAACAGACACAAAATGAAGCACATATAGAAATACTAAAATGAAAGATTTGCCTCAATTTTCCAGAGTACCGCAAGTCCCAAACCTCTTATTAATGTTGCCCAGAAGGGAGCAAAATTACTTGATTTGATTACCCCCACTCTTCTCCTTACACTGAGGTAGGGATATGAATGGGAAAGCAGAGAAAGGCCGGTAAGGCAGGAACCCAAGGAATTCACATACATGTGCCTTGACCCCCAAACACCTGGGAATTAAGGAGGTGCTATGCTGGGCCCCGGCCCTTGAGAACTTTTTTTTTTTAAGATTTTATTTATTTGACAGAAAGAGAGACACAGCAGGGGGAGTGGGAGAGGGACAAGCAGGCTTCCTGCTGAGCAGGGAGCCCGATGCAGGGCTCGATCCCAGGACCCTGGGATCATGACCTGAGCCGAAGGCAGATGCTTAACGACTGAGCCACCCAGGTCCCCAGAGCACTTTATTATCCAAGGACTGTCCCAGTCTGGTGACTTGTCACGGGCGTTCAAGTCAGGGAATCCAGTATACATGAATTCTGTACTCTGCTACCCCTTTCCGTCCTCCCAAGACCTGTTATCACCCTCACAGTGGCATCGAGGTTATGAGCACAGGGTCTGGAATGAAACAGCCTGCATCAAATCCCTCCTCTGTCATTTACTAGCTGATTGACATCAGTAAATGTTAGCTATTATATTATCTGCCAGCTCAGCACTACCCTGTCTATGGACAGTAGCCCGCCTTTGGGGGGTGTTTCCCCACTTCCCTACAGATATCATTAAGCAGCGTCTCCTTCTCTCCTAGCTCCCATCCTGCCAACCCTTTTTAAAGAGAAGTAATTCCCCCCCCCAAAAAAAGAAAAGTAACCCAAGAAATAGCTACCTTGGTATCTGCACATCACGCTTCCCTTGCCCTATGTTCCAGAACATTCTCTATTCTGTCCCTTTCTCCCACCCCTTTCCCAACCCCCACCAGCTCTCCCTCCCTTGTTACAAGGCTACACACATTGGTATAGTACTCTGCAGTTTCCAGAGTGCTTTTGCACACATGATTTTATTCAGTTTATGGTAAGCAGTGTATTTCATCTTTAAAGCAATCTTGTGAGCCAAGGGTATTTCCCCCCATTTTACAGATATGCAAACTAAGTCTTAGGTTCATAAGTTGTCCATGCTCACACAGCTAGGAAGTAAGTCATACCGGGACTCAAAGCCAAGCCTCCTGACCCCAAACCCACCCACTATTTTCTCTACTACTCCACATTATCATGTCCAAGTTCACATCCTGGGAGCGCGAGGAGCCTGAAGTTTATGGCCAGCCACAAACCCCTCCAAGGGAACACAGTTCTCTCATTTTCCTCCCTGCTGGCTGTGGCATGGCTGTCCAGGCTGAAGGACCATACACAGGTACCTGCAAAGCACCGGGCCAGGTACCGTGAGGAAACCAGAAAGGGGACCAAAGGCCCACAAGGCTGTGGGGTGTCTGCTAGAGGGCCACTATGTCATGGCAAAGACCAAAACATTCCAGGTCACTGGGCAATCCCAAAGGAGCACCCCAGAGAAAATCCTGAGGCCCCAGATCCACTGAGCCTTCCTCAACCCAGCATACCCATGGGCCTCCCTCACTGATGCTTCCAGGGAGAGGAAAGTGCACAAACTCCCTTCTGGCCAGGGCTGAGAGCTTGATCAAATTCAGACACACACACCCATGCACACTCAGCAGTAAATTCAGAGCCATGGAAATCAAACCTTGAGCTCACCCAAAGGCCAAAGGAGAAGCAGTCCAGGGCTCTGGCTCACAGCCCCATCTCCTCAAATGCCAGATGCCAGGCAGAGCTATATAATGTGCCTCTACTTCATTTTTCCATGGACACAACCCCAGACGGGACTGCCAGGCTCTAGAGGAGATGCAGTTCTGAAGCCTCATAACCTCTCTGCTGTAGGATGCACAGCTGGACTTGGGGAAGGAGGAATATTTGGGGATCAGGTTTGCCACCCCCTGGAACGTTTCTCTCCCAATATCTTTCCAAGGCCTAGTGCTGGGGTGGAGTAAGTTTTCATTCAGCAACTGATACAGGGTTGGAATTCAGTGCAAATTGCTTACATCTGCTTGGCCACATCCCAGACAGGTAGTTTAGAGAGAGAAGGAGGAGCAGCGTTGGCTCACTTCTGGAAGCCCGGGTAGCTGTGTGCTCAGGAATCTGGTGCCATGCTGGGACCAGCCAGCCCAGGGTACAAAATTCCCCAACGGAATTGGAGGGGCGGGGCAGGGGAGAACATCAGGGCAGCAGGAGACAATAGAGATTCCATCCCAGGCGTGGCTGGTGGGACTGGGACAGGGAAGCCACAAAGACCCCGCAAGGGGGTGGGGACGAAGGGCCTCGAGGCGCAGGAGCAATGGCAGGTTCTTCACACACACACACACACACACACACACACACACACACACCACCACCCCCCCTTAGGCAACCGGGGTGTGTGCACTAACCTCATACAATTGGTAATCTCTTCTCACAACACAGGAGCTTGCCAAACCCCTTGGCTCCCCACCCTACCCCACCCCAGCTTGGCAGCGTCCCCTGGGCTTCCTGCTGCTGCGATTGCTCCCCAACATCAAAGCCGCCGCTGTCGGGAGCTGAGAACGAGAGACGAGTACCAGCCAGGAGAGCAGCGACTCCCCGGAGGGCCCGGAAACTCAGGCCTGAGGGTCCCTCTCTCCCGGCTCCAGCTTCTCCTGGTGCTGCAGTACCCTTATAAGGCAGAAGCCAAGTCTGCCCTCCGTCTGGCTAAAAAATGTATATATTCCCCAGGCTAGATGCTGACTTTTCACCCACTGCAAGAGAAAGCGCCACCCCCACCACCCCCACTCCGGGGCAGGTTTTGCTTTTTATTTCTTATCTTAAACAAACAACCCCCCCAAACCATCGGTTGGCTCAGATCGTCTTGCAGCTGGGAGCCAGGAAGTGTGTTGAGAGGGAAAGGAGTGGGAAGGGGGTGCCCGGGGGCCCGAGACGCCCCGAAACTGCTGGTGCGGGGTGGCGACCGGAGTCGGCAACCTGCAGGGCGCCGCGGGCTGGAGCTCTCGCTGCCACCGCGTCCGCGGCTCGGCCGGCCTCCGGGAACCCGCGGCTCCTTCCATTGTTGCAGCTCGGCTGTTGCCATGTTGGAGGGAGAGCCCCTTGACCTCCGCTCCGTCCACTCGGCCGGCCATCCGCGGAGCGGCGGCGGGCGCTCCCGGCCCGGTGCGCGTCCTACCTGTGCTCGCTGCGGGCTTCCGTGCCAGACCCGACGTGGCGTGTGCTCGGCGACGCGGGCTGCCGGCTCCGCAGCTCCAGGCGTCCCCAGCACCCGGGCGCGCCGGCCGCGCACCGCCCGCGCCCGGGCCGCTCCCCTCTCCGCGCTGCTCGCCGCGAGCGCCGGCCCTGGGGCCCCCACCCCGGGGCGGCGGGGAAGGCAGGAGAGGGCGCGGGACAGGCTCCGGGGGCGCGGGGGAGCCCTCCGGGCCCCGAGCGTGCGCGAGCCCGCAGAGTCAGGCCACCCCGGGTGAGACAATAGCGGGAGCAGCGGGCGGGAGCGGAGAAGCCATCTCCCGGAGAGCCGGCGCACTGCACGGCGACGCGAGGCGCGGCCAGCCCCGGCCTGGACAGGCAGCCGCCCGGCCGCCCGCTCCAGCCCGCAGCGCCGAGTCGGCGGCGAGCGCGAGGGCGGGGCGGGCCCGGAACCCTGACCGCCCTCCACCTCTCCCTCCCGCCGCCCGCCGCCCGCCTCCCTCCCTCTCTCCCTCCCTCCCGCCGCCGCCGCTCGCTCCCTCCCTCCCGCCGCCGCCGCTCGCTCCCTCCCTCCCGGCGGGGCCGCGGGGGAGAGCGGCGCGCGGGCGTCCGATTGTGCTCGGGGACTGCAGACGGCGCTGCCGCTTCCCACTTGGGTGAGGTTTCTGCAGATGGTCGTTACTTTTCCCTGCGGGGACCCCTTTGCTCCGTGTCAGATGAATGCCAGGTCGCTCTGCTGAAAAGGACCCACTGAGGGTTCGAGGACTTCCCCCCTGCGTTACTAGGATTGCGACGCCTGCAAAAGCCCCTACCTTGAGGGCGGAGGTGGGGGTAGGGGGGAAGCTGGCTCGGGGCTGAGCAATCAGCCGTGTAAGTGTTTCTGTCCGCCCGAGTGCCTCGTCCGACCTGAACCCCAGAGAATAGCAATCCTGAGGGGGAGGGGTGGGAGAGGGTCCTCCAACCCAACCATGGTAGGGGAAAAACCCACTTCGTTCATTCAGTTGGTTATGTTTAAGATTTTGACTCCACGTGCTTTCTTTTGAGCAGTGGTCTCTAGAAGAATTTTCCTAAAGACTCCCGCCCACCCCCACCCCCCCCGCAAAAAAAGAACAACCAAGAATTGGCCAGCTCCTCATTTGCATTTGCTTTGCATAGTAACTAAGATCTCTGATCTCAAAGTACAATTTCCTCAAAACTTGAATTTGTTCTCCCCCAGGGCCCTCCTTCCTTTCTGGCCGGTCTGTGAGGATCAACACCTGGTTCCCAGCCTCCCTCCCCTGCAGTTCCCCTTCAGGTATCAGGGTCTCCAGGCTCCCAGCCTCCTTCAGAAGCCTGGGACTCCCCAGCCAGGGTTCCCATGGAAACGTCTGCCAATCTACCCCTTTCCTGGTCTCAAGGAAATATTTGTTAAAATGCTACTATTTCAGTCTGTTTAAGGTTTACTAGAGTTAAAAAAAAAAAGTCAAAGACTTTTTAATAAGATATCGGGCCTCTAAAATTTCCTTAGTAATACAAAACTGTGAGAAAAGCCAACACAATTCCTAGATTCATAAAACTATAGAATTTGAAGAGACTCCAAAGCTCAGTAAGAGGATATTTATTAGGAAGGGAATTTGACTAACCAGAAGAAGTCCTACAGGGGGACAAAGCAATATAAAGAGCGAGTTCCAGTGGTGTGAGAACAGTCACAGTTCTTGGGATTGAGAAAGATTTCTTGGGATATTGTTTTGTTCTCATATAAGATGAAATCTGAGCAAATGCGAAGGAACCCTAATTGCAGGCAACCTTGAGTGAGACCATAGGGAGGAGAGGGGAGACCCAAGCCTGTGTTTCTCCTCTCTACCCTCTGCCATGTGACCTTGGGTAGTCCACCCTCTGAGCATCAGTGATAATATCAGCTCCTAATCCTCGAGAGCCACAGGGGATAAAAACACACATTGGTTGAACATCTTATCAAAGGCTCTACAATGCACTTTGGTAGGGAGAAAAAAATTTCCTTATAAGAGAAACCAGGGCATGCCAAGAAGTTTAGATTTTGTTTCGTGGGTGACAGAGAACCCAGGGTGTAGACAAGTGGAGCTGGGAGTGATATGATCAGAAAAACCTCCTGGCATATTACACAGGAGGATTTGCAAGATGCACTCTGTGTCTTCCCATTGTCCCTGCAGACTCAGTGTTGGCCATCCAGCTTCCTAGTAGAGGGTGGCCACTGGGAGCCCTGGCAGAAGATTGGAAGGAAGGAGGTTGAATAGATCTGGATATTCGCTTCTCAGGATTTCCCTCTTTTTGGAGTCCCTGTGGGCTGGCTGCCACCCTCAACCAAAGTTCACAGCTCCCTCTGGGTGGTTCCCTCTCCCCGCCCCCCAACTTTCTCAATTCAGATATCTCAATTACCTTCTCAGGCCTGGGAGTGGAAACTTGGTTTCCTGCTGGCCCCAATGTGCTGCACACTATTCCATCCTACATTCCTCACCCGCATCCACTGCCTTATATTTCTCCTTTCCATTAATTGCCAAGTTTCTAGAAAGAAGCTCCAATATCTTCATGTGTCTCTTTTATTCCTTAAGCCACTGGAGCCTCTGGGTTTAACTGTGACTGTTCTCACACCACACACAGCTTTCCTTTACCCTGCTGACCCTTTGTAAATTGTCTCTTCAAATTGGAGTGTATCATTTGCTTCCTGCCACGTTAGGAGTACAGGCCGAGAGCTCACGGAGGCCACGGCTACATTCAGAGTGCAAGATCAGAGAATCTCAAAACCCGGCCAGGGCTGTGGCCGTGGGGATAAAAAGGAAAGGACAGATACAAGCAATGGTTAGGAAGTCAAATCAATAATATTTGATAATATATTGAATGTAGGCAGCTGGAGGAGGGATCTAGAATCACTGTCCATTTGATGCCTTAGGAATTAGTGGCAAGTCATGCCATGCACCAAGTGGGGGGACTATAGTAAGACAGGGCCCAGGTGTTGGGGGAGCAAACATGAGTTTCATTTTGACATGTTGGGTTTGAGGTAGCTGTGGAATGTTTAGGTGAGGATGTCTAGAAACTAAAGTCAGAGCAGAGGTGTGGACAAGTAAGGGCAATTTTGGACTCTTCAGATCATGGATGGTCAGTGAAGCTGTGGGCATGCGTGAGATTACCCAGGTGGGCACATACAGAGGAAGACCCCTGCCAAAGAAGTTGAGAAGAAACAACCAAGTTGGTAGGGAAAACCTGCGACCACAGAGTATCAGAAAGGAGGGTGGGAGGAAGTGTCAGGAAAGTGACCGGAACACAAGTGTGGCAGGGAGAGCCAGGAGGGCAGGCCTGGAAAGTGCCCTTTGGATTGGCAGGAGAGTCACTGGGACCAGTGGTGTGAGAACAGTCACAGTTAAACCCACAGGCTCCAGTGGCTTAAGGAATAAAAGAGACACATGAAGACATTGGAGCTTCTTTCGAGAAGCCTGGCAATTAATGGAAAGGAGAAATATAAGGCAGTGGATGGGGGTGAGGAGTGCAGGATGGAGGGGAGGATTTTTGTTATGGCTTTCCTTTTTCAAATGGGAAGAGCTTAAACATGCTCAAATGTTGAGGGGAAAGACCAAGGAGATAGAGAGATGATTAATGAAAACCATCCCGTAGGAAATGGCGGGAGGGAAAGGGGTTGCCTGGGATATCTGTGAGAAAGGGCAAGGAGCGGAGCAGATACTTGTACTTGTGTAGATTGGTAAACCTAGAGGTTAGGAGTTAACTGGTTGCTACCTGATGGTCTGTAAGCAATCTCTTGAAAGAGAAGGGGTCAAGTTGGGCTTGAGGACTTAAGGAAAGTGGGTAAGGTTAAAATAGCCACCAAAAGGAATGAGAATGGTAGCTTCTTAGAGAGAGAAATGGAATTGTCAGTAGAGTCGAGGATGTGGCTGGAATCAGATATTCTGATATGTAGTGGAGGTGATACATTTTCCTCATTTTCTTCTGCAGCGCTGGGAAGCCCAGGTGTAGAATGTTGAATCAGGGCTGGGGGTGGGGTGTTGCAAAATAGGTACAGTTGGAGGATAAAGGGGAAAGAGGTTCCTGACAAAAGAGGAGGGGTCCAATGAGGGGCATGAAGCTGGAGAAAGGCTGTGAATCTTGAGGAAGGGAGTCAAGGGGTCTAGCAACCTCTAGTCTTGCTCCCTCCCCTCCAGTCTCTTCCCCAACACCCCAGCCAGAATGATCTTTCTAAAGCAGACATCTGCTTCCCTTGTTTAATTAGCATCAACTAGCACTGAAGCTCTGTAAGGGCAGGGATTCTTTAGGTTTTTTTTTCTTTAGTTTTTAGATTTCTGTATTCCCAGAGCCTGGAACATGCCTGGCACGTAACATGTGCTCAATAAAATTTGTCAGATGAATGAATGGATGACTCCATATAGCTCTTGGATGAAACTCAAACTCTTTAAGAAAGTCAACAAGGCCTCTCATAATCTGGCCCTTGCTTTTCACTCTAGCCTCAGAGGACAGAGACTTTGTCTTGTTCATCCTTGTATCCTCAAAACAGCACCCACCATATAGAGGGCATTTAATAAATGTGGGTTGAATGAATAACTCCCTCCCTCATTCCAATGCAAACTTCAGGTTGTTTCTGGAATACATACGATTCTTACCTAGGGGTCATTCTACAAGCTCTTCCTACTGCTTGGAAAGGGCCTCCTCCCCGCCCCCCCAAACCCCACCTCTGTTGCCCTTCCCTTTATGTGGCTGTCTTTCTACATGGTAGGCAGAATAATGCCCCCCCCCCACCCCCAAGGAGGAAATGTCTGCTTCCCAATCCCTGGAATGTGTAAATATGTTATCTTACCTGGCAAGGGGATTGTGCAGATGGGATTTAGTTAAAGACTGTGAGATGGGGAGATTAGCCTGGATAAACTACCCAGGTGAGCCCAATCTAATCACACTGGTTCGTAAAAGCAGAAGATGTTCCCCAGCTGAAGTCAGAGGGCGATGTGGTAATGGAAGAATGGTAAGAGGGAAGCAACACTGCAGGCTTTTAAGTCGGAGGGTTGAGGTCCTGAGCCAAGGAATGTGAACAGCTTTTAGAAACTGGAAAAGGCAAGGAAACAGATTCTCCCCCGGAGCCTTCAGAAAGGACTATGGCACTGTTGACACACTGATTTCAGCCCAGTGGGACCCATGTTAGGCTTCTGATTTCAGAACCGTAAAATAATAAACTTTTAATCCACTAAATGTGTGGTAATTTGTTACAGCAGCAATAGCAGACTAATACACCCTACAATTAGCTTTCCAGGAAGCTTCCCTAGAGTGCTTCTAAATACACCTGAGAGATTAGGGTTGTAACACTAATCACAGAGTGTCGAAATTACTTGTTTGATTTTTTTCTGGATTGGGGGAAGGGACAGAAGAGGAGGGTAATTAGACTATAAGCTCCTTAAAGACAAGGCAATCTGTGTTGGGTTTACCTTTGAATTTCTAG